TGATAGTTCTGAACGTCGTCATAATGATCCATCAGAGTATCTTCAGTATGGGGAGCTGGGATCTGCACGACAGTAGGCTGAGCCTGCGGGATAGCTCCAACAGTAATTCCAGGCACTAGGATTGGCTGAGAAGTGTTTCCTTCTGCTGCGTTATTGAAGTTCAATGGCATCCCATGAGGATTTGGGATTGGAACCAAAGGGATGGCAGTAGACCCTTGTCCTTGACCATTGTTGTTGACGACAGCAGCGGCTTCACGCTGTTCTTCCTCTCTTCTGGCCGCGAGGATGGCTTCGAGGATCTGGTCGATCTTTCCTTTCATAGAATCCAACTCTTCCCTGAAGGAAGCTTGCTCCTGCTGAATCTGCTCCATCATTCGTCTTGTATTAGCTCTAGTTGCGTACTGGTGTCGAGGAATCAGCTTGATTCACTGGAGAGGAAGGAACGAAGACATAAGATCCTATTGAAGGACTGGAAATGCAAAATGCACAACATATGAAAATGCTATGCAAATGATATGCAAGATGCAATGCAAGATACAAGATCCAGGATCATAGGATCACAATCAAACAATTTTGGAGCTGATAAGGGATGGTTTCTACGTCTGGTTCCCAGGATTACGGACACTAGTCGTATTAGCGTCACGCAACAGGCTGGCTGTATTACGATGATAATGACGATAAGGTCTCTCCTGAGCGGGGTCCTCATGCTAGGCGCACAAGGAGCGAGTCCTTGGAGACTAACACTACACGACCACCAATATCGGAACTGGTGCTAACAAAAGGTTCCCAGAATCACGGACCCTTCATTAATCAAGTCGTGCAACAGGCTAGCTGTGTTACAACGAGATCTACGAATAGGTCTCCTCTGGAGGAGCTTTCATGCTAGGCACACAAGGAGCGAATCCTTGGTGACTAACACTACTCGACTACCAATTCTAAACTAAGTGTTCTCTCTGCTTTTACCAAAGCTCGGGTGTAGAGCTTTACTCATGATGTCATCCCAAGAACCAACAGGCAACCAGGATAGCAAGCATAAATAAAATTCACAAGAGAACAAATACATAAACGAAAAGAAAAATAAAAAACAACACTCCTCACAAAACCCAAGATAGGCTCGACTCTCTCTTTGCATGGAGCAATGTCCCCAGCAGAGTCGCCACCTGTCGCACCTCGAAAAATCACGGAGACATTTCGGAGAAACGACCCTCGCGCGAAAGGCGCGGAAATGCGGTTCGACAGAGTCGCCACCGAACTTTATTTTTCCCGAATAAACGGGAAAGGAAAATATCGAGAAAACCTCTTAAAGCGAAAAGGATAGGAACAGGGCTGTCGCAACCAAGTTCCGGGTTCGGGAGTCGGTTACGTGAGGGGAAGGTATTGGCACCCCTCACGTCCGTCGTACTCGACGGGAACCTCTTAAGGTAATTGTGGGGAGTGTTGTTTAGGTTTACTTGTTTTCTTCTCGTTGTTAAACGTAGAATTGGTAGGTTAAAAAAGGTTAAAGACGCAAAGGAGAGATGGGTGGTTATAGAATAGGGTGCTCGCCAAGGATTGGGGCCCTTGTGCCTACGTATGCTCATTCGGACGAGAATGAGAAATCAGAGCTTCGTAGTTCGACTACGGAAAAGGATGGGAAAATGTGGACGAAATAATGGAGGAAGATAGAAGTGTGCTCGCCAAGGTCATCGCAATCTTGTGCCTATGTATCTTATATTCAAGAATGAATAAAGAATCAGAGCAGTCGTAGTTCGTGGTAACAACCACGAAAAGAAGACGGGGAAATGGGAGAAATGGGTAGAAGGTAGCTCACCAAGATCATCGCAATCTTGTGCCTACGTATCTTACATTCGGACGAGAATGAAGAATCAGAGCAATCGTAGTTCGTGGTAACAACCACGAAGAGAAATGAGATTGAATGAGTTTGACGTTGAGTTGAGAGATGAAAGAGTGACTGACAAACAACCTAAGGGCGTGCCTCAAGAGCTTGTCACTCAAGAATTCAAGGAATGCGAGATCCCAAGAACTCAATTCTTTCGGAAATTAAGTTGAATAAGTTGAAGATAAGAGTTGGATGTTTTGAAATCGAAAGAATGAACTAATAACAACTCAGGGGCGCGCCCAAGAGTTACTCATTCGAATATTCAAAGAATGCTAGATTCTAGGAATATCCCTCTTTCGTAAGCTTAAAAAACATTTGTCAAAAGATCGAATCGAAAAATGGCATGCGAGGCCAAAGGAAGTTGGTTTGAAAATGGCTCGACGACGTGTCGAGGATTTGATTGAAAATGAAACCGACTTGACGACGTGTCAAGGGTTAAATCGTGAGAAGCGATATTAGTCCCTAAGGGTGACCCCAATTTCGAAACCACGGTGAATTGTGAATGTTTGTGCGAATGTTGATGGGTGCGAATGTGAACGAGCACTCAATTTAGGGAAAGCGTTGGAAAGTGTTTGAGTTTGAAAAAGTCGAAAGGTTGAGTGAATAACAACTCAAGAGCGTGCATCGAGAATTTATTTACTCGAAAATTCAAGGAATGCTAGATTCCAAGAACCTCCTTCTTTCGAGGTTTGAATCGAAAAAGGTGTTTTGAAAAAAGTCGAAAGATTGAGTGAATAATAACTCAAGAGCGTGCTTCGAGAATTATTCACTCGAAAATCCAAGGAATGCTAAATTCCAAGAACCTCCTTATTTCAGAGTTTGAATCGAGAAAATGTTTGAAAAGGTCGAAATATTGAGTGAATAATAACTCAAGAGCGTGCCTTGAGAATTATTCACTCGAAAATCCAAGGAATGCTAGATTCCAAGAACCTCCTTCTTTCGGAGTGTGATCGAGAAAATGGTTTTGAAATAATTTGAATCGAATCGAGAATATGAAAAGAGTTTATGGTATGAGAAGTGAGAATACGAGATTGGATTTGAAAAGTATAGGAGAAATGACGATTATTTAGTAAATGAGACGTAGGCCTCACAAACAATTAATTGGAGTATTATTGAGATGCTAGATCTCGACGACACCTTTTTCATTTGAAAAAAAAGTTTGAGTGAACAACGGAAATATCACACAGAATGCTAGATTCCTATGATACTTCTTTGTTAAAAAAAAAAGTATATTTTAAAAAATAAAAAGTCGAACAATACATTATTTAAGGTTTACACCTCAATAATGATTGTCTAAAAATCCAAGAAGTGCTAGACTTCAAGGATTTAGTTTTTTTCGTGATTTGATTGAACAATAATTTTAGCTTCGAAAATATATATATATATATATATATATATATATATATATATATATATATATATATATATATATATATATATATATATATATATATATATATATATATATATATATATATATATATATATATATATATATATATATATATATATATATATATATATATATATATATATATATATATATATATATATATATATATATATATATATATATATATATATATATATATATATATATATATATATATATATATATATATATATATATATATATATATATATATATATATATATATATATATATATATATATATATATATATATATATATATATATATATATATATATATATATATATATATATATATATATATATATAGGATCAAGAAACATAGTCAAATTTTGAAAGTAATTTAATTTAAGAAAATTGTTTGTATATTGAAAAATGAATTTAGGACTAAGAAAAATAGTTAACCAAATTTTGGAATAAATTTGAAAATAATCTAAGGTTCTATTTTTTTGAAAAAAATATTTTGGATATGTATTAAAACAAACTATTTAATAAAATAGAAAGTAAGTTTTATTTATTTAAAAAATATAAATATTGGGCTTGACAAATATTATTAAAGAATAGTCTAAAATTGTTTAGAAAAAATTATATGATTTGCTTGAAAGTTTAATTGAAAAAAAATGTTTTTTTTTTATAAAAAAATGGAGAATAATTAGTGAAATAAAAGGAGAAGAATTAGGCCAATCTCGATAATTCCAGGACTAAAAAAAACTTCTCTTTGAAACTTTATTAATATTAATAATATATGCTAGTAAAAGAGGAATTTATTTGGAAGCAAAATGCAGTACTATCATCATTATCATGCTTTAGAAAAATTTAAGATGAACACACTAATTTAGACTTGGTCTTAGATGAAGCATAAGGAAGAGAAAAAAACAGAATCCTATCCAAGCTTTCAAAATCTGATCCACACACATAAAGAAAAATATGAACAATAATGACAACATAACAATATATACAAAGCATATTCTATACAAAGTAACAACAACATAACAATATATAGAAAATGCTTAAATTGAAAACTTATCATCATTGAAAAGAAGCAACATCATATTTAAACCAAAATAAGCAGATACAACATGATCAATAACAATTTCATAACAGAAGGCGAATGAACAACATTTTCGCAAAGATAACCGAAACAGCAAGAATACATAATCGACACGATAATCCAAATGACAAACAATATACAATTAACTTTTGATTTTGAATCGTTACCGAATCTCATATACGTCACACATTATTCACAGTTCACCAAACATCAACAACTAAACCGAAATGATGCAGAGAAAAACATGAAATAGAATTAATACTAAACTTCATCAGTACTATACAAATGAAAACTCAATCCAAAAAAACAAACATAATCGAAGATGAGAACGAAACCGCGTCCGAACCAACCTCAACAGTTCTTACAACTAATGAATTGTAATAAACTGGAAATGGAAAACATAATTTCAACAGCATAAATACGAGTTCAATACAGCTTTTAAAACAAATATCATAATGGAAAAACTTAATGGTTTGGATCAAATGTTAACTGAAAAAAAACTGCAGTGAAAACGACGGTACCAAAGTAAAAACATTCACCAGAAGCATCAATCGACACCAATGAGATGACTCGAGGTTTATCGTTACGCCGTGATTATGCAAAGGTCTGACGTCGTTGATTTGCTATGAATCTCGCGGCTACCTCTTCGTCGCTGTTGAGCTGATAAAACCGAACGTGATGCCTTTATTACTCCGGCCGTAGATGAAACGAGATGATTCCGTAAACTCTGAAACGTTTATTCGAATCTTGTTGCCGTCAATTTGAGTATTCAAGAGTAGTATCATTAATATTTCTGTGCAATTTTGCATCAAGTTTAAGTTGAAAAGGCGACGTCGGTGAAGTGATTGCGTCGAAGATAGTGGTGGTCTAAGGTTGCGAAGGCGGAGGTGAAAATGGTGATGTGGTGATGGCATTGATGAGGGAGGGTTTCGTATGGTGATGGCATTGATGAGGGTTTTATATGGTGATGGTTGAAGAAAGGAGATGATGCGGCTATGGTTTTGAGTTGGGGTGGCTGCGGCCATTTTTGATGATCATGAACAGTGCCCCTTCTAAAGTTCTTCTATGCCCCTTTTATTCTCCTCTAAACCCTACATTTCCTCTTTCACCATTTTACCGGGCTGCAAGCAATGGGCCCAATTCAGCATTCCAACCGTTTCCTTCTTTTTCAATTAATTAAAACAAACAATTTTAACTTAAAAACTAAACTACAAAATTATACAATATAAACAATATTATTGCTAATTAATATAATTAACAAAACAAATATATCCACTATATTGAACCATATTATTACTAATATTCTTAAAAGAAAAAAAAACTTAGAAAAAATAAATGATAAATAAATAAATAAAAAGAAATAATATTCACACAAAAACGTCTTTAGACCACATGTCACGCTCTTATTGGGCAAAATACCAGAGATTCAAAAAATCGTCCAATTATGAGTGGGCACATGTCTAATTGACGTGAAATTACGCAAAAGATGCAAAATTTAAAAAGCAATCAAAAAATGCAAAAATAATTAAAAAAAATGAGTAGGACAAATTTAGGGTATGACAGGAAGCATAAATAATAAAGCATAAGTAAAGAACACATCATATATCCTGGTTCACTTAAGCAACTCTCAAGCTAATCGAGTCCACCCTTCCAAGGTGATTTTGCCTTAATCAATTAAGGACTTAATCCACTATAACCGAACTGATTACAAATGCACGAGCTAACTGCAAGTGACTAACAACTTGACAATGACACGTTCAGGGATCCCCAAGGATATAACGTTCATTAACACTTTAATAGAATCCGATCACTAAAGATCTCCTATTAGGATTTTCACAAATGACTACTGTCACTTGTCATCTCAAGTATATTGATCTTCACAAGATCACTTGAGGAACCACTAATTCTAAAATAGAAGTTTTGTATTGCCGGAGATTACAATGGTGCTTCCTAGCAAGCTAATAACTCCAAGTTTAGCACATAGCAAGTAATGAGCAACAACTCCTTGCTTCCTAATACAAAAACTAATTCTAATAATAACTCTCTAAGAGATTATTAAAACAGTTTCTATATGCTTAAAAGCTTTTCTGTTTGTGAGCCCTAAGGCTTCTTTTCCATTAAGCTTTTTTCTTTTTTTTGCAGCAGTAGCAGTAGCGCAATAGCGCAAGAGCCAACAATTCTGGCAATCAGCCACTTCAACAACATTTGAATAAACAAATGATTCTTCCTTTTATAGTACTTCCAAGAATGACGTTGTGAGGATAGAAAAGTCCTTTCTATTTCCAACGGTCATATTTCAACGGATAGAATGAGCACGTGTTGGATGACATCACTTTCTTGTCCTTTTCCATAAGCACATGATTTATCAGATTTGAACAGCAACAGCTTATCTGATGTAACATGTCTTGCATCTGGATGAATCTTCTTCTGACACAATCTTCCACTTCAGAATCCAGTCTTCAGCATTCCAGGAACTAAGTTTCCTCTGAAACAATCTTGAGAATCTTCATGACTAATTCTTCATAAACCATGTCTTCAGAATCTTCAGAGCCTTGACCTTCATAACACTTCTTCAGAGTCTTGACCTTCAGAACACTTCTTCAGAGTCTTGTCCTTCAGAACCTGTCTTCAGAGTCTTGACCTTCAGAACCTGTCTTCAGAGTCTTCAGAGTCTTGACCTTCAGAACCAGTCTTCAGAGTCTTGACGCACTTGGTCTTCAGAGCCTTCAGCCTTCAGAACTTCAAGTCATCAGAGTCTTCAGCACTTTGTTCTTCAGAGGACTCACTCTTCAGAGACGCTCGTTAGCTTCTAGATCAGATGCATAACTCAGAGCAGAATCCATAGATGCATTGCAACTGCAATATCCAGCATCCTTGATTCTTTACTGAACATGATCAGATGTAGAAACAAACTTGCTTCTTCATTGAGCTTCATTTGCTTTCAGATCAGATGCACTTCTCCAGAGTAGAAACCACAGGAGCATTGCAACTGCAATATCCAGCACCCTTGGTTCTTTACTGATGGTGATCAGATGCATAAGCAAACTAGCTTCTTCTCTAAGCTTCATTTGCTTTCAGATCAGATGCCCTTCTTCAGATTAGAATACACAGGAGCATTGCAACTGCATTATCCAGCATCCTTGATTCTTACTGAACGAGATCAGATACATAAGCAAACTAGCTTCTCACATGCGCTTCATGACGTCACACTAAGTAACTCTATAAGTTACTAGCTGCACATGTTGCTTCTGTTTGTTTGGTCTAATATATTTAATTTAATATGACCTGCACATAACAAACATTAAACCATAAAATGGTTCTTTCACAAATACTCAATTGTTATCATCAAAACATAGAGATTATCCTGTAGAGACAAATCTTGCTCTTACAGTTACCAGTATCCCTGGTGAATCTCGGGATGTTTGGTTGTTACCGACACTCCTAGTGCATCCTAGGGTGTTTTGCTTGTCACCTACACCTCTAGTTGTTCCCTGAAGATCCCATTTAAAATCTTCACTATAAGGAAATCCTATTTTTTAGTTTAGTCCCCAGGGAAGATTCTATTTCTCTCTGGATTCCCCAGAAAGACTAGTTGTTACCAGCTCCCTGTCGTTGTCGCTTACCCGGTCGTTACCAGACTCCCCTGTAAAGTCTAGTCTTCACTAGCATTCCTCATGAAGTCCAATAGTCATTGGAATTGCATAAAATCCAATCGTTATAGGTGTCAATGATTTGGTTGTCACCATATCCACTTGAAAGTCTAGTGTTTATTGGCATTGTTTAAAGTCCAATTATAATTGGCAAGTTTTGTCCGATTCTGTTGTGTTCTTTGATTGTTGGTTGTTACCAACATCTCCCCATTGAAGTCTAGTCATTACTAGCATTCCTCAGGAAGTCCAGTAGTCACTAGAATTGTTTAAAGCCCAATTGTTATTGTATTGTTGCTTTGGTTGTCACCATATTTATTGGAAAAACCAGTAATGTTTTGTCTGGCATCGGTTAAGTCTGACTGTTGTTAGTACCTCAGTTTTGGTTATTGCCATATCCTGTAAAATCCCAATGGTTATTGGAAATGCTCATCTAAACCTGATCCTAGGATGGTTGGTTGTTACCAACATCCCCAGCGAATCCCTAGATATCCCTAGTAGGTCTTGGAGGTCTAGTAGTCACTAGCATCCCTGGTGAGTCTGGCCTTAATTCTAGCCTTTTCCTGGAGATCCCGTTTGAACTCTCCGTTGAAAGGAAATTCCCCACTTGGTTTGCTACCCAATGGAGACCGTGTCTCTAGTCTTTTGAGTCCCCAGTTGGAGTCCGGGTCTGTTTAATTTTGTTCCCCTGCGTGGCTTCTTATCTAGGTCTTCCTTGATGCATTTCCCCAAGTGGAGTTTTGTATTTCCCCGGTGGAGATTTTCCTTTTCCCCAGTGGAGATTTGTCTTATCCGTTTCAGTTTTGTGCTCCCTGTGTGGAGGATCCCCATAAACTATCTCCATTAGTCATGTCTGAACTATTAGTTAGTTTGCTTTGGGTCTCTCCCTAGTGCGTCTGTGTTCCCAGTGAGTGGTCGCTCGTTATTCTGTTCTTCTGTTCACGTGTCAGCATTTTATTATGCTCAAGCATCATAAAGCATCATTCTTAGAACTCATTGCATGATCAACATTTGTCCTTTTGCATATCAATGCATCTAAGGGACAAAATTTTCGGTTTTGTATATCAACGCATCTAAGTAGAGGTCAAGCAGCCTGTAAATCTCTTGGTGAGATGACTAAAGGACAACTGAATCCTGCATTGAAGCATGATGCTTCTGATTCAGTGTGTGAGTTTAGCTCTGATTGATATATGTGTTAGCAGTAGCCTATTTCCTCACAGGTTGAGGTGTGCAGCCACAACAGGTTGAGCTGTGATGAAGTTCCTCACAGGCAGTGTGAGGTGTGCATCCACAACAGGTTAAGTTGTGATGAAGTTCGTCACAGGTAGTGAGTGAGGTGTGTTGTCATGTGTCTTAAGCAGGACATCATTGCATGACAACAGAAGGAGCTGCTAGTGTATATCTCTTGACAGAATTGGTTTGGATTGATGAGACCATGTTGAAAATACCTCATCAGTAAATATGTCAAGGAGATTAATTAGGAACAAGAACATATTGTATTGGTATTCATAAAAAGGATCTTGGAGACCTTTTAGGAAACTTTAATATACTTGTTTTTAATGTTATTCTGCAGAAGATTGGGTGAAGCCAGGTCTGGTGTAAAGAAAAATCTACAGAAGAGTGGATGTCATACTGAATGTCATGACATTGATTGTATGACATCAGTCGTGCAGGCATGTTGGGTTTCTGTTATCTCAGGCTAGATTTCAGGAGACTTGTTATGACCCCTGAGTTATCTCAGGAGAGATTCAAGGCAATGCTGACCATGCCATGACCTAATTGGACAGCACCTTGAATTGTGGAAATTAGTTTTATTTTGTTAAAACTAATATTTGTTACTTCTGCATAGCCCAAGCCCAGTCTGCAGTGCTGTAAAAGGAGGCGCAGAAGCAAGGGAAAAGTAAGCACTCACACCAGGAAAAACCAGAGTGTAAAATAGAGGTCTAGGGTTGAGAGTCACTTGTGTGTAAGTCACCCTTTGTATCTTTTGATACATTATGGTAGACATATTGGTAAGTGAAGAAGGCTAGTCTTCACGTGTAAAGTCTGTTTAGGAATACTTGTAATCCAAGCAATTATCTGGTGGATGATTGTTTTTCTTAGGTAGATTCTAGGTTGTGTCTCACTCGAAGCTGTGAAGCAAGAGTGTGTGAGTTCCTTGATCAAAGTTATGAAGCAAGATCAAGGTGTGTATGAAGTGTCTCTTCATACTGTTTTGTAATTGTTTGATATCACTATTGTGTGATTGAGGGGGAGTGAGTGGGTATACTTAGGTACTAGAGTGTCTCTAGGCTGAAGTGTCATTGGATAGAGATTAAGTGAGAAGTGCAAACTGGAGGTTTGACTTTGAATTGATTCTACTAATAGTGAATTTCCTC